CTCTTCTCCTTCTGACACCCCTATGATTTGGATGTTGGAACATTTAAAGTTGTCCCAGAGGTTCCTAAGCCACTCCTCATTTTTTTTGAATTCTTATTTCTTCATTCTGTTCTGATTGAATGTTTATTTCTTCCTTCTAGTACAAATCATTGATTTGAGTGCCGGTTTTCTTTCCTTCACTGTTGGTCCCCTGTATATTTTTCTTTGTTTCACTTTGCATAGCCTTTACTTTTTCCTCTATTTTGCAACCATACTTAACCATTTCTGTGAGCATCCTGATTATCAGTGTTTTGAACACGGCATCTGAGAGGTTGGCTATCTCTTTGTCACTTAGTTCTTTTCCTCGGGTTTTGATCTGTTCTTTCATTTGGGCCATATTTTTTTTTTTTTTGTCTTGGCGGGCCTGTTATGTAGTAAGAGGCAGAACCTTAGGTATTCACCAGGCAAGGCAACCAGCATCCCTGCTTTGTGGCTCTGTATGTGACGGAGGGGTCCCAAAGGGAATAATGCCGCTTGCTCAGCTATCAGCTGGCTTTCAGTCACTACCCCCACCGCCCACAAACAAATTGAGCCCTTCCAGTGCGGATTCCCATGTGGGTGGGTTTCTGTATGTTCTAGCACCCTGTGGGTATCTCCAATGAATTCTCCTTTGAGGCTGGGAGTTTCTCCCGCCACTGCAACCCCCACAGATTTTTACATCCAGAGGTTTTTGAGGCTTTATTTCCTAATGCTGGAACACTGGGTTGCACGGTTTGTCTTGCTCCCCAGTAATTCCCCTCAGTTTATTCGCATGCAAATGTGGGACTGCCTGTCTACCAGCCATCACCTTGCCCTCCATGGTCTGCCAGCTGCCACTTTGCTCTCCTGGTCCTCCAGCCACTGGCTTGTTGCTCATCCTCTCCAATCCAGCTGCCCATCTCCGCCCCTCCTACCAGTCTGAACGAAAGTTTCTTCTTTAACCCCTGATTGTCAGCCTTTTATACAGTTCCATTTTCTGGCATTTCTGGTTATTTTTTGTTTTTAAATTTGTTTGTTGTCCTCCTTTTGGTTGTGTGAGGAATCAAAGCATACCTATCTACACCTCCGTCTTGGCCAGAAGTGAGATGTCATCTTTATTTTCCTTGTATCTTTCTTCTCCAAAAAAAGTTTTACGCTGAGGGTATATTTCTGTTATAATCAAGGGGGAAAAAAACCAACTCTGTTTCTATTTCGTAAAAAGGAAAACTCATGTACTGCAGAAGTCTAGGTAAGAATCAGTGAGGCCAGAACCGAGAAAAGTGAGGAGAGGAAGGAAGGAGCTGAAAGATTTTTGAGAAGCTGACATCCTTAGGGTTTGGTGTTTGACTGGCCGAGGCAGGATCCAGGCTGGCCGTGCAGGTTCTGCCTTTGGAGACCTGGCAGCAGGTGGTACCCAGTGCTAGAGCCAGCTGAGGATGAAGGCCAGCAGACAGCCTGTTAAAATTAATATTCGCACTTCTTAGAAATTTTGAGGACTTCGTGGTAGAAAAACTGACCTTGGAGGTTTATACAATGAAGGAAGAGTCCATTTGACTTAGTAAAATTTTTTATTTACATTTTTTAAAAAAGGACATTATTACTGCTTGGTAGATATAGTGTATACCTCATTTATTAAGTAGTTGGTAAGCTTTGTGAGGGCAGAAAATCATCTTTATGTTTGAAATCCCTCAATACCTAGAATATAATCTGGTTTGTAAAATAATGCTTTAGAATGTTTGTCATTGAATGAATTGTTGAAGCCAAACTAATGTTAGTTCTTAAAAGAAGCCAGTCCCATAATCTCAGGAAACTCATCAAACTGATTTGCCACACAATTGTGTTTGTAAAGAGCCCCTTCCAAAGTGCTTAAAGTAACGCTTTTCTTAAAAAGAAAAAGAAGTTTTTCCCAAATTATTTTAAGATCATCGTTAAAGTTTAGCAGATCCCTTCTAATTTGTACAAGTCAGAAAATCAGCTTGGTCCTACATACAAAGAAGCGTAAGTTGCTCAAGAAAGTGCAGTGACAGATTAGATACAGAAGTAGCGCCTGAATGAGTGCGGTTGGTAGGTAATAATATGAATGTGATAATTTATAGCTTTCATCTGAACATTTCACCTAAAATGCCATTTGGTGTGATATTCTTATGTTACAGAATTACATGCTTATGGTTTTGTAATAAAAAAGGGGCATTATTTGTGCCGGACCCTGTATTTTTCCCTGGGTCTTTCTTATAAGATTATTTTCCTCTGAAGCATGTTTACCACTATACTTCACGAGCCCAGAAAGTAAGTTATTTGGACTATGAAGCTATATATTAGAAGTGCTTTAAGGAGCGTGGGCTCTGGAACCACTGGCCCAGCTCTGAGTTCCAACATTGCAGTGTGTGGACTAGGATGGGTACTGTAACTCTCTCTGTGTGTTCTCACCTGTACAAACATGTTATCAGGGTGTCACGAAGATACAATGAAATAGTCACTATAGAACACTTAACACAGAACTTAGCATGTAATTCGAACTCAAATATCAGCCCTTTTTAAACACAGACTTGTTCCTCTTCTGGGATGGAGTGATTTCCAAAAGGTACAGGATTTCCTGTGTCCTGTTTATGATGGGATTTTTTTTTAATTTACCTAGAAATATGTAAATACTATGTTTTAGAAACCCTTCCAATACAGCTAAAGTCTGTGTCTCCATTTGAAGGCAGACCAAAAATTCAAACCTTGGTTAAGTTTAGATCTCCTCAGAAAGGTCACTTCAGATACCATCCACCTGACCTTGAGCCTTTTGATTTATCATAAGCAATTTTAGGATGTCACCATGCAGTACCTGGCTGCTGGCCTGCCTTTATTTCCACATCACCTGCTGCACAAGCCACAGCTGAGCAGCCCCTCATGCTGCTGACCTCCAGTGTCCTCTGAAGGTTGCGTGTTACCGGGGCAGGAACAAAGAGGGTCTGACCATTGCTCATGAAGTGCGGTGGTGCCATTTGTGGGCACTGCTGGCACTTCTTAAGTCTTGTCTGAGGTCCTTAAACTGCACTTGCTCGCTGTTGCTCCTCAGATGAACATCTCCAAACAAGAGAAAGGAGTTGAGAAGTTGTGGGTGTAATTCAGTCTTCATACAGGGCCAAAGGTCACTTAGTACCACGTTAGAGCCACAGTGCGTCAGAGGCCTGCCATTTTTCACAAGGTTTTGAATAAATCACCTACTCCCCTTCTTCTCACCACTCACACTGTACGGGAGGGGGATCTTTGACACAAAAATGTGAAGATGTATGACTTTTCTTCTGGGGGGTGCCAAACCGCTACAAATGCCACATAAGGACTAGAGCACTGAACTGCAGGGACATTCCAAGGCAAGAATCTCTGGTCACCGCATAACTTTACTGACGATAAAAACATCAGATCCTATTTCAGAATTTTTACAATGAAAAGTTTTACAGAGAAATATTTAAAGCTCTGTTCTTCACTTTCTGAATGCTCATAGTCTCTTCCCTACCCCATATGTCTTCAAATCCCCCTGACCCAGCTCCTAAGGAAAAAAAAAAAAAAGAAAGAAAGGCAACAATTGCCTCTTGTTGGCAGTAGAATTTATTCAGTAATTTACTTTCCAGCCAACTGCAGCCAGTGCCATTGCCTCTGGGCACTTGTTCAAAAACACGGAAATGCAATCACAGATTGGCCAGACCTAACACAGCTCCCCAGCCTCAGCCCTGTTATCTCCTCGTGCTGTCACCCCCGTCAGGCACAGTCCTGGGATACTGGGTGGTGATCAGTCCGTCTTTCTGCGGCTTGCTCATCCCCGCAGTTCGGGCTCTCGTCCAGGGCTCGCTCCCTGCTCCACCTGCACTCACAGCGTTGGGGGCAGGGGCCGTGAGGGCTGTTGTGCTGCCAGGAAAGGGCTCCTGAGTCCTGAGAAAACCAGAACCAGACAAAGAAACCAGCTTCCTCTGTTGACCACCCACCTGTAATGAGCGTGGCTGTGTTGAGTGAATATGTACCATGTGGATTTTACTCAGTGTCGGGTATCTCTCCGTTTAGGTTATTTATACTCGTTCTGTTCAGGTCTGAGTCAAGTCGAGCCGTGGCTTCATTTCATGTTGCGGACGGCTGCAGCGCCACCTCCTTGAAAAACAGAGTTCTCTAGACAGGATGAATGTACAGGAGAAGACTGCCTTTTTATCAAGAGAATTGTTTTCTGGTTGTTGCCTTCTGGTGAAATTCTTTAAAAATTACAGGCAGAAGAGGCAAATGTTTGATGAGGGTTTGGGGCTGCTTTCTGCCTGGGTCAAATGTTAAAATAATGAAGTTTTAAAACTTAAATTATGACAGATCCATAGGAAAATGCCTTTTCTCTTCTAGAAGAGTCTGTTCTATGGACCAGACACTGGTCATTGTGTGGTTGGCTTTTCAGAGTGGTTCACATTAACAGTGAGCTTTACCTTCTTTTTTCCTTTATTTCATTCAAAATACGGCCCCATAATTACATCTTTCATTAGTAATTCTTAGAGGATTGGGGGCGACATTGCTGGGTTTTGCCCTCAAATCCCTTTTTACCCAGCCGGAGCCCCAATAGATTGTGTGGGGCCCAGCGACGGCACCCCCAGCCCTACTGAGAACCCTCGATTCAGCCCTGCTCCCTGCAGTTCTGGGTATTAGTGGATAAAACCCAGACGAGGGCCTTTCTGTCAGGAGACAGTGGCCTCGTTCTGAGCAAACAGGAAGGAAAGGAGCACACAGCTGAATGCTTTTTAGACAGATGTATTTTCACCAACCAAAGCAGTATTTGGTTCAGATTAATCCATCTGAAGAGAATTATTCCTGTGAGAATGTTTTGCTGGGCTATGTGGGGGCAGGCAGTTCCTCGCCCCTCCCAGGTAAGAAAGAACAGGGTAAAATGAAAGTGTTTAATTATGTGGGAGGTGGCTTGTTGTTAAATTTGTTAACTTGTTTCTTCTCACTGGTGAAATCCTAACTGCCCTGCCCTTCCCTTTCCACATCAGCTCATACCCCAGACAACAGCTTCCTGGGGTTTGTGGTGGAGCAGCACCTGAACTCCAGCGACATTCACCACATTAACGAGATCAAGAGACAGAACCAGTCCCTGGTGTATGGCAAAGTGGATAGCTTCTGGAAGGTAAGTCAGTCTGTGTTCCTCCCTCTGTCTCCCTGAAAAGATGCTTGTTGAGTAATTTAATTTAGATTTGACCCAGGAAGTAATCAAGCCAAAGTGCCCTGGGTCTAATGGAATCCGCTTAGAAGTAAACAAGAATGTGCATGGATTTGGTTGCTCAGCATCTGGGTATCTATCTAATCAAGGCTATACCTGCTCATCCGCACAGTGGCTGCCCCACAAAGCCCTTCACTCTCTGCATGTTAGAAGTGACACATTACAGCTTCTTTCACATCTTATATTTGCTTCTGAAAGCCAGGTTCCCACAGAAGCTGGGTATCTTTCTGGAGCAGAGCATTGCACAGAGGGACCCTTTGCCAAATGGCTCTTTGCCTCTGCCCCTTGGGAAATGGTGTGTGTGAAGACAGGCAGCTCCCTTTGCGTGGGGAGCACAGGGGGCCTCCCACCCACGTGGCTGTCGTCAGTGCCCACAGTGGTCATCGTTCAGCTAACCAGGAAAGGAACGTGCCTGCCAGGGCTGACTGCAGGTGGTTTGCTCAGGGACACCTTGGATAAAACAGCATTCTCAGCCACAGGCTGACCGGGCTTTCCAAAAGTGCTGGGCTCCTGAGCCCTACAGGGCCCCTTGGCTCCCCTGGATGCTTTCCAGAGCACATCTGGGAAAGGTCAAACAGGAGAGGAGCCAATCGACATGGCATGCAAATATCTTGATTATTTTTGAGGACATGTTTGTGTAGCACAAAACAAACTGCAAGAGTTCAAAACATGCCTATTTCTAAACATAAGTGAACCACTTTCTAGAATGATCAGGAACTGTGGTCTCACGTGATCACGTCTCGCTTATTGAGGAAGTTAGAAGTCAGCCCGCTGAGGATGCGAGCACACGAGATGTCCCGGGTAGAATACCTGCTCTTGGTCTTCTGAGCCCTGACCAGAAAAGGGAAAGCACTGCTGCCGGCTCTTCAGTTCTGAAATTCTCACTGTGCCAAGGAGACCGTTCGGTCGGCCTGTCTCCGGGGCAGCAGATTCGATTCCAGGTGACCGTCTTGCTGTAAATGGCTAGAATTTTGTCTCTGTACAGTACAGTGGTTCTCAACCGGGGGCAGTTTCACCCCTCAGGGGACATGCAGCGGTGGCGGAGACAATTTTGTGTGGCACAAAATATCAGCAGTGCCTTCACCTGGGCTGGTGAATAAAATTTTCCTCCTCCCTACATTATTCTGCATTTTCTCCTCTCAAATAAAATGAAATCAGGCCAAATTATAAGTGGTTATTTAAGAACTTCCCATAAATTTATACATCTTTTGAAAGATGCATGAAAAGATGTATGAAAGTTGCCCGTGCTAACAGCATTATTCAGCTAACTTTCAGCCCAGTTTGGGTAAAAAAGGGCACATTGGGCATTCCCACCCTCAGCTCCGTTAGGAAATGAACGGAAGCCATCACTGGTTTTTGGGAGATGTGGGCTCCTAAAAAAAGTGTAACTGCCTTCTCACCTCTGCACCTGCTCACAGAAAATAATTTGCATGTCTCTATGGACTTCACCTTCAGATTATCTCACTCCTGTTTTGAAAGCAAGTGTGGCTTCCTCCTAGGTGCCTCTGGCAGCTTTTTTGGTCTTCTTAGAAATCCAAAACAACAAAGCAGTTCTGAATACTTTGGGGTCACCTTTTCTTGGATAAAATAAAGCTACCACTGAAAGGATGATTTCTTGATGCCAGGTGGAATCTCAAAAGTATGAATCATGTGACTTGGTGTGTGGTCTGGAAATTCTTCCAAAATTCTGTGGAAGACCCGACCTTTCAAGTACTGTGCATCGCCCCACTGTGACACAGTGCCAAGAGGCAGTGTGCCTGCATAGTCTGGGTAAACACCAGAAATCTGGGCTGGGTTTTTTTTCCAGTTTTACTACATCATCATTACCTAGCATTCATTGATGAGAGAAGTGCAAAAAGATGAAAAGTACTGTAAAGTTTTCACATAAATTAAGGACATCTCCTAAAACTTTGGAACACAGCATTGCGAGTTCAGCTTTTTTTCAAAACCGTCCTCATCCCATGGTACCCTGTGAGTGTGCACAGAAAACAGATGCGCCTTTTAGGTGTGATACTATCGCATCCACATTTCCAGAGATGCACTCCACGCGGACTTGAACAAGCGGGAAGTTGCTTTTCCCACCACTTGCTCCATTCTTCCCCCGCCCGCCCCCCCCCATCCTTTACATCAGAGATCTTTGGGAAGGGGGGTTGCCCTGTCAGTCCTGGGAGCATTCGAATGCTAGTGGAGCACATGAGTACGCACCGGTCTGCACCGAGTGGTCTCGGGAAGTCCTCTCCTCTTTCCCTTCAGAGTCTAGGACTCACGGGAATTCTGAGGGCACCTTGCTCTGCTGTCAGTCCTGCTTTGCAGTCCTCCTCCTCCTCCTCCTCCTCCTCCTCCTCCTGAGAGAATCTCCTCCCTTGCCGGCACACCTGAGTGACCCCTCCACGCATGGCTGGTTGGCCTGGGGTTGTCCTCAGCTCCAAGGCAGCAGAGGGACAGTGACAGCCTAGGGACAGAAACTAAAAGGATATAACCATAGTTATCATGAGGTTAAGGGAGAAGACTTCCACAAGTCCAGCGATGAAGAAACAGGGCCAGTTTGGAAAGGGAGAGGGCGCTGCCAACATGATGGGGCAGAATCTCAGGGAAGCGAGGCGCCGCCGTGAGAGATGTGGGGTGCTTCGAAGGCCAGACAGACTTGACCCATGTGGCCTGAAGAGAAAGAAAAAGCAGCTGCCAGCGCTCTGGAAGCTTTCCTTTTCCTATCCCACATCCCTTTATCACACTCTGTTCCTTTGCAGTAGCCTGAGCAGTTTCTGTCCCTTATAGTCATGTCAAGGATGTCTACTAACATACAGGGTGAGGCAAAAGTAGGCTTACAGTTGTTGGTCTGTAAAGTAATACAGTAATTATTAAATAGTAATACAAGAATAAACTCTGTGTTGTGTACTTGTAAGTGTAAACCTGCTTTGTCACGCCCTATAACAGGCCTTCACTGCACTCCAGTGCCGAGCAGGAAACACAGCCTGTTCAGCACAGAGGCTGAGGAGGAACGGGCCGCCTCCTCAGCTCCTCCCTGCTGGCCACCAGGTCATGGCCAAGGTTCCCTGTGGTCTTACCCTGATATTATAATATATAGGGGAGGACTGGTAGGGAGGAAGGGAGGGAGGGGACATTGCTATCTGACTCCAGAATCCCAAACACACCAACTTAGGAATCATCTCTGCCCAAGACCCTTAGCATCAAATAACACTTCTTAGAGCCTAATCCCAACTACAAATCTCTTTCTTAGCCCAAGAACCCATAGTTCTAGGTTCTGGACATCTACCTCTGGGGCACACTGATCATTAGTATCACCTAACACATGTGCCAGGAAAAAAATGTGTCCAGTGCGGCCGAATTCAAGGTCCTTCAACATCAGGGAGTGAAAAATTAGTCCATTTTGATAAATATAAGAGATTTTGAAAGTTATGGAACTTAAAATCAGTTGAAGTCTTACTTAACCATATTACTTATTTCCACATTTCTTTAAAAAATAGCAGCCTGACTGTGGCTGGTGTGGCTCAGTGGATTGAGCACTGGCCTGTGAACCAAAGGGTTACTGGTTTGATTCCCAGTCGGGGCACAGTCTGGCTTGCAGGCCAGGTCCCCAGTAGGGGCATGTGAGAAGCAACCACACATTGATGTTTCTGTCCCTCTCTTTCTCTCTAAAATATATATAAATAAAATCTAAAAAAAAAAAAATTAGCAGCCAGGCCCTGGCCAGGTTGCTCAGCTGGTCAGAGCACTGTCCCAATGCACCAAGGTCATGGGCTCAATTCCTAGTCAGAGCGCATACAGGAAGCAGTCAATGAATGCACAAATAAGTGAGACAACAAATTAGTGTTTCTCTTCCTGCCCCCCACCCTGTCGTTCTTCCTCCCTCCCTCTCTCTTTCTCTAAACAAATAAAATTAAATAAAAATAGTGGCCTGAATATAACTGAATCTTCCTTTGATGGTGCAGGGTCAGCATATTACATATTCCTGATCTCACCAGGATTTTCTAATTACCCACTGATGCACGACTGTGCTAGGGTAAACGTCCTGAAGGTCTTGCTTTCAGTACTTCTGGGGAATAAGCACGGCCTCTGAACCACAGGCTGGGGCTCAGAGCTGGTCCTGCAACTCACCAGCGTGTGAGGCTTTGAGCATTGGTTCCTGGCCTGCAAAGGGGGGGCAGTAGCATCTACCACATAAAACAGTGCTGTTCTGCATGCGGATCACCTGGCACCTTGTTCGGATGCCCATTGTGCAGGTCTCACAAGCACCCAGGTGATGCTGACGTGCTGTTCCACGTAACAAGGCGCTGGGTGTTTAGGGTTGTGCAGAGTGGTTGGCAGTGAGTAGCTGACCACTCGGTGAATGAATAATTCCTCTTTCTTCTTTACTTTCGTCTTCTTGCTACTCTGTCAGACTGCCAGGTATCATGTTATTTTTTTTAGTATTTGCACCTGATTCCAGTCACCCCTCAATCTTACTTCCCTCTCACTCTCCTTGCAAGGCTCAGCCCCTTAGAATGGGGTGAACCTGTGGTAAGCAGTGGATTCTAAGGGGAAGCGAAAGGCGCAGTGTCTTCTCATCATCTGCTTTCCTGGTTTTTACAGTGGTGCTTACTGGCAGTGTGGCTCAGTGGTTAGGAACACAGACTCAGAGCAAAGTAGCTGGGTTCAAATCCTGCCTCTTTCATCAGCTGCCTGATCCTGGGTGATTTACTGAACTTCATTTGGCCTCATTTTCCATGATGATAATAGGGTTTCTATATAAATTAAATGAGTTAATTGTATGCAAAGTGCTTATATTAACTCACAGTAAGTCTGCTATTAGTGATAGTAGTTCTGGGGCCAGTTGGGAAACATAGTAAGAATGTGGGTGGGTGCGAGATTGCAGTGGGCGGGGGTGAAGTGATGCCCGGAAGGAGCTG